CCCGTAAGGTAAGGAAGTCGATATTTTGGCGGAAATAATGTTCCTAGTTCCATGTTATTTTGTCTGGGTTGATGTTTATTGTCAGTTGTAGCGAATTATCTGTAACATTTTCCTTATTTACTGTAGCCGTTAAATCTATTTAGTTAGCCGATAAATCGAAGGGGCGAAAATTTTTGGGATCGTTTAGGAGCTCCGGATACAATTAGGTAATTTCATGATTTATCACTATACACTATTTATTTTGATGCCATGTTAGTAAAATTCTATAGTATCTACTTTCAGCTTTCTGCCTGTCTTAGTCGAGTTTTTGATTCTGTACTAACAATGAAACAGATATTGGTCGATCGCTAATGGCCTTTTTGGAAACTATCTAAGTTGTATTCACCTTTGGAGCTGCAGTTTCTTTGTGTTTTACGTTAAAGTTTATCAACATATAGAAGATAAAAGAAAACTTGACGTTTAAGTTTTCCAATCAGTCTTGTAAGGTCATTTAGTGCATTCTTGCGGTACATTGATCTGCGTGCAGCATCGGTTACGATTTCACGCGTCGTCGGTGAATAATTTCGACAATAGTTGCGTGATTCCTCTCCGATACTGTTACATAGCTGTCTGCGTTTATTAAGATCGGTAAAACACGAAACGATTATTGGAAAATCTGATATAATATACAGTACTGATAGTTTAATTTATGGTTGCAAGATAACTGTAACTGAAATTACGCTTTAATGTCATGATACATTTATTGATTTTCCCAAAGTTTGGCTAGAGGAGAACTCATATTTCACCATATTTAGTGAGTGTATTTGTCCGATGGTAGAATAACGCTAGATGTTCTTCGTTCGCACAAATTTCTGCTTACTAATTAAGGCTATTAAAATCTAATAACTTTTCCTGATTCCGCATCGACTGATCCTGATCACGCATGGTTTATTACGGACCAAAAACTTGTTTCATTGTTTGCTCTGTTTCATTATAATTCATCACAAGGCCTACTGACTTATCTAATAAGACCATTTCTTCTGACTTTCTAACCAAATAAGTGTCACAGTCCAGTGTAGGTGTGTCTGCGGAAATCAATAGATCATTGCGGTTGAGTAATGCAGTCTGTAGTAGGAATTTACTTGTTCTGCGCTACTCTCAAGTCTCCACGGATTTACGGTTAAGGTAGAGCGGAGCTGAGCGAGTCTCTTGAAGTATTCAGTTAGTCGTAGAGTGAAGTTCGGAAGATTAAGTTATACAAAAGTAAAAGGGCTATCATAAGTATTTGGATTGCTAGATAGATTGTTTCAACAGCTAATGGCTCTTAACTCGTCGAGTACCGTCAATACAGACACAATTATAGAACAATAGGTTGCGGTCACCGGTGACCGCTTGGTGTTTGACAGTTTAAGCGGTAGTTGTCTAGAAAAAACAATCCATGGGATTTACGTCAACATTAGAGAAAGCTGTTTTAAGCACAGTTTAATTAAATATTAGATAAATATTCGAAAATAGATGTTAATGAAAAGTTTTTCGATTCCTAGTCTACGTCTCTACAGAAATGACGGGTAAGTCTTATAAGTAATGACGTAAGTAACATAACGAATACAATACAAAGAAAAAAAATATAAACATTTAAGTACCACCTAATTAAAAACAGCCGCGTAAACATTAAATTATAAAGATATCTTTTAATTATTAATTATGTTGGTTATGCGCCTGCGCATCTCAAGCCTGTCCCCACTGTGCTTCCGTTCCTATGTCACGCGGCCGCGGGAGGATGTCGACGTGCGCATAATGAGCACCGTGTGGATATGCCTCTAGTTATATTTATATCGATATTTAATAACTACGTTTAATAAATTAATAAATTACATATTACGATTTGTTTATGTAGGTTGTGGTGCTTTGAAGGATATTTTAAAATGCGTGAATGTTATGTTTTTATTTCATATTCTTTTACCATAGGTTTAAACTGTCAAACACCAAGCGGTCACCGGTGACCGCAACCTATTGTTCTATAATTGTGTCTATGACGGTACTCAACGAGTTAATTATCTTCATATTTATTCGACTATAGCCTTATTCCTTAAACATTTCATATAAGACACTTTCACATGATAAGGAAAAATAGTTATATTTCACATAATGTCTGATAGAGATTAATAATGTCTGATAGTTTTGTGTTCGCATAAACTGACACATTGTAAAACAGGGGTTGAAACAGGTTTATTCTAAAATTTTATTACCATACAAAGTTTTTGCAACACAGAAATTCAAATGTAACACTATATTTTTATTTTTTTAACACCTTCCCTGCCTTTTCGTAATGAAAAGAAAACATTCACAAAAATTTAATTAAAAACTGTAGTAGGTACTACCATTTTAACTGTGGCTGATGTTTTAATCTAAAAGATTGTACCTACACTTTAATGACTTGAGTAAACATGTTCACTAACCAGCTAGTTGCATGTTAATAGTTAATTAAGAACATGTTAGTCAATCAAATAATTAAAAACTTACCATAACTACTATACAAGTTTTCATAATTAGTTTTTATTATTGGAACAAGAATTTGTGAGTGCTACGCTAATTCCATGTCACTTGTCACTTCTATGCTAAATGAATTTTAAAATATTGGTGGTTATAGTCAATGACAGAAGTTCAATAGGACTTAAACATGTTTTCTTGTATATTTGTATTGGTGTATTGCAGTTACATCGGTACTCAAGTTTTTCACCATTAACATAAGTGAAAATTCAAATCAACCAAAAAAGATTACCAATAATAAATAAAATAAATTAGTTAAATACTTATTTGGTAGATGAATTAAAATGATCTACTTATTAGTAAAAATTAAACTAATTAGTCTCTCATACAATTTTATTGTATATAAAGAAAGGTAAACATCAACACACAGCTGTTTCAAAAACAAAAACATTTCAATTATGTCCACAACAATAACATTATGCAATTATGATTTTCACACCTGCATGAAGGTTGCATATCAAATTACCACTCTTCAAGGTTACACGCTTGCATTGAAAATTACACTTAAGCATAAAATGCAAGTTAGATTTACAGGTGAGAATTTCACTCTAATTAACTGGCAGAATGCCAGGGTTTCCTTGGTCAAGGAAAATATTGCACTGTTTGTTATCCACATACATAATCTGTGGAACTCAAGAATGCCATTACTATTCTAATTTCATTAGTTATTACATTCTTTAATTATTATAATTCTGTATGTTTGTTATATGTTTATAATTAACACAATTGAAATATTCTTGTACTCATTAAAGGTTAGTGTTATGTTTAGGCATAGGTACACAGTACCTGGGTACAACCTATGATATATTGGACACAGTACAGTCTATGAGTGGTTCTGATCTAATGTCTAGCTTGTTGACATTATAGGTAAATGCTTATAAGAAGTCAATAAGAAATGAACAGAATTAATTATGCACCTTCAAGGTTGAGAGTGAAATGATGTAAACAGATGTTTGGCCACACATAAAATTCTGTGATTCATAATCAACATGTCAAAGAGCATCATAGGAAGACAATAGTGAGAATGTGGTCTTACAAATAGTACCTATTTGATGCAAATATTGTATAAGGAACTTAAAACACTATTGTTTTTATATTGCCCATCTTTAGATTTATAGGAAATCTATCCTTATCCATTGAACGCAAAGACGTCTGCATCTGCATACTTTATCTGAGATAACTACGAACTTATTCATCCAACCTGAGTAATTTCTTTCCAATGAACACACCAAAAAGAACTTTACACATTGAACTATCTGATAACAGTCGTTCCATACGAATCTTAGCTGAGTAAATAACATCGTTAATAAGGCGCGGTGACGATATAACTAATGATAAACCTTCACTCTTCATCACAACGCCCATTTTAGCGAGCTAATTGCGAATACCAGAAAGTATACACTAATGGCACACTATTCCAATAAGTATAATGGTGTAAGGAAAATACGGTCAGTCCTATAAGAAAGGTTTCGGTGCTCATGGGATGATTACTAAGCCGTAAAACCCCGGAATATTGATATAATGTACCTACTCACCCTCTCCACCCAAAGAAGTCAACAATTATCCGGTGTTATATACACTGAGATCGCCACTTCTTGATGTTTTTCGAAGAAACAAATGCACTACAATATATATTGCACACTTTGTAAATAAATAAATGCCAGATATTTAGGAAAATTCACATTAAGACCGCCGCTTTAACCGTGCCACAAAACGAAAATGGCAGCGTTGAATTGAAATGTGTAATATTATACGACAAAATTTAAATGTACACTACCTCCACACCCTCACGCTAGCAATCCTTCAACATCTCCGCACTGAACAAATCTTTTGAAGCGCTTCCACAAAGCATTTACATTTTGTCGGATTATACTAGTACCAGAATACGTCGCTATGATTGAAGTTGCAACCGTAAGTTCAGTACCTAACACCAAATAATTAATCAACGTTTTAAAATTAAAAGAATCTTTAAAAATATATGTGTATATATTAAAATATGTAATATAATGTTAAAAGGAAAAATGCTAGTTTTAAAATCACAAAATATATAATTTACCGTTGGTATTTGAACTCCTTCATCATTCGATTCGTAAACATGTACCTAATACAAACACTTCAGAACTAATAAATTCTTGTTTTATAAGTAGTAATAGATTGTTCATGTAACTAATAATATGATATTTCGTTCGATTATTTTTTTATTCGCCTTTGAAAATAAATTTTGAACGCATCATTAGCAAATTATGGAAACTGAACACAGCTGATGAAAGTCCTGAACGTGCTAAGGTCCGATTGAATGAAATATTTGAAACCCGAAAGCAACCGAACGGTTACCGATTAAAATCATACCTTTGTCTCGTTTCTTTAGTTTCATTATGAAAAGGATATAAGATATTGAATCGTTCTCTCGTTGCAGTAGCTTGACTGTTCAGTTTTTTCGTTCTATTCGTTCTTCTACTTTATCAACTTTCAACTTTTGTTGACTAAATGACTATCTGACGATAACCGGTGCGGAGGCCGGTGAAAGCGAGCAAGTGGTTTTATTTTACTTTGGTATTATCGCGTATCATATTTTGTTTGTTGAAATAGCTGTGACTATTTTATTGAATTAAAAATTGTCACTTGGTCTATTGATTACGAGAAAAATGAGTGATATTATAACAGTTAAAGCACCTGTTAACATAGCTGTTATTAAATATTGGGGCAAACGAGACGAGGATTTAATTTTACCGTTAAATGATTCCGTTAGTGCTACTTTGGATACGAGTATTATGTGCGCGAAAACGTCAGTCTGTGCAAGACCAGAATTTAAAGAAAATGAAATATGGTTGAACGGAAAAAAGGAAACATTTCAGAGTCCGCGACTACAAAATTGCCTAAAAGAAATAAAATCCAGAGCTGCGGCAGAAAACAGCGTCAATGAAGATTTTCTACAGTGGAAAGTACGTGTGTGTTCGGAAAATAATTTTCCTACTGCCGCAGGATTGGCGTCTTCCGCAGCTGGATATGCATGCCTTGTGACAGCTCTGGCTAAACTTTATAAGGTCAAGTCTGATGTTAGCTCTATTGCCCGGTTGGGATCAGGCAGTGCCTGCCGCAGTGTATATGGAGGCTTCGTTAGATGGCATGCAGGCACTAATCCAGATGGTACAGATTCAGTAGCTTCTCAAATCGAAGGTTCTGCACACTGGCCCGAAATGCACGCCTTAATCCTAGTTGTAGGCGATACTAAAAAGAAAACTAGTTCCACTACTGGTATGAGAATATCTACACAAACTTCCGAGTTATTAAAACATAGAATTAAGTATTGTGTGCCACAGAGGACTGACGAGATTATTCAGGCAATCAAACAGAAAGATTTTCCAAAATTTGCTGAAGTAACTATGAAGGACAGCAATCAGTTTCATGCAGTGTGTTTGGATTCCTATCCACCATTTGTGTACATGACAGATGTATCTCACCTAATTGTTGATTTGATACACAAGTACAATGAGCTCTCTGGAAGTACAAAAGTTGCTTACACTTTTGATGCTGGACCAAATGCTTGTCTGTACCTTCTTGAGGAAGAGGTACCACAAGTGTTATCTTTTATAAGACATGTATTCCCTTCCTCTAACCCAGAGCTATTTGTTACTGGCTTAAAAACAAATGAAGTTACATTAAATCCAGAGTTAAAGAATATTTGTGAGCCTCAAGCAAAAGATTTGATAAAATATGTTATACATACTAAAGTTGGAGAAGGACCCACAGAAGTTACAGATGGATCACATCTTTTGAATGATGCTGGGATACCAAAGATTGAATAATAATTGTTGAGATATAGTGCGTCACAAAAGTAGATAGCACACATTGTTATCATTAGATCAAGAATACATAATTTACATGTGAATGGAACATCCTGTTTGCCATCTTTTTTTATGAATGAAGTGACATCTATTTATGTGAATGTACCTAAGTTTGGTAATGGCATTTGTACTGTGTAAAATATTCCAGTTGATAAGCAGTGTTGGTCTGGTTTGGTAGTTAGTCCAATAAATATTTAGAAGTTGTTATACCTATTATAATTGGTAATTATGTAATGAATTTATGCTATTCAGGGTATTGTAGGTACTGACTGTAGATTTATCTTATTGTAACTCGAATATCTATGTAATATGTTGAAAGAAGAAAAATGTGTCTGTATAATCATTGGTTTTTATTTACATAAATTATACACATTCATACATAAACATTTGTTGTATACCTTACTCACATTTGTAACTGACAGTTACTGGAAAAACTTAAAGTACCTTAAGTCTATTCTTACAAGGAGATCACAATGAAACTGCTATGGTTTAAGTCAAACAATTCCATTTATTTTTATCCTCACAGTCAGGCTACATAAGTAATGAGCAGCACAAAAATAAATGAAATTAAGTTTCTGTAACTCCTTATCGTGCTGAGACTGACACCTGCCAGACTCTGATGATGTTGTCGGAATAACCAGCGAAGAGGGTCTGACCATCTGTGGACCAGGCCAGAGACAAGCACTGGGGTGGGTCGGACTTGGAGGTCTGGGTCTGGTTGATGATCTCAGGCCTGAGCTCTTCAACCATCTCCTTGCTTTCCAGATCCTGTTGAAAAAATTAAATATAATTAACTACTAGTTCATTTCCATTCAAAACCTACAACAAAATATTCTCACTAAAAGTTATACATAGCAACTTGAGTAGGATTGTGGACTGTCAGATAATTAAGTTACATACCCAGATCTTGATGGAAGGTCCAAAGGCAGCACACAGCCAGTATCTGTTGGGTGAGAAGCACAATGATGTGATGATGTCATTGTGGTCCAAGGTGTGCAAGTGCTTGCCATCGTTCAAGTCCCAGAGCATGGCCTTCATGTCCTTGCCACCGGAAGCACAGAGGGAACCGTCGGGGGAGACTGTCACTGTGTTCAGGTAACCAGAGTGGCCAAGATGGTTGATCTTGAGCTTGCAGTTGGTAAGGTGCCAGACCTGTAGAACAATAAATAATATGTTAATGACAATACATTAGTTACATGAACATGTGGTCTCAGAGTACAACATGCATAAGATAAACGCATGTTACTTCTTAAAATAATTAATATTTAGTATATTATACATAATTTTAAAAAGTTGAATTACACAAACCTTAACAGTGCGGTCCCAGCCAGCTGAGACAATGATGGGGTTGGCATGGTTGGGAGAGAAGCGCACACAAGACACCCAGTCACTGTGGCCATCATCTTGGATGGTGTACTTGCACTCGGCGAGTGTGTTCCACAACTTGATGGTCTTGTCCCGAGAGCCAGATACAATCTGACGGTTGTCCACTGAGAAAGCCACGGAGAGGACATCCTATATGGAAATAAAACATTATAATCTGGCTCATCTATTTAGTATTAGGCACTACAAAATAAAATAGGTTCTACAACTACAAAATTATGCTATGAACCGAAACTGAACTTAAAAAAGTGCAATGTAGTGTTAGTTTTAAACAGTGTGAAATGTGACTAACCACACTCTTACCTCTAACACAGTCCTAGTTGTATCACAACAATGCTCGCAGCATATGAATTCTTCTGCCTCGCAAAGGCACAAATACACTTAGTCTTCTGCCGCGCATCGGCACATATACTACAACCCTAACCAAAATGTTAAGTTCTGTCACACCTTAGTATGGTCTTCGAAACGCCTAGTGGTCTTTCCAGCAGCAAGATCCCACAGACGCAGAGTCTTGTCCCAGGAACCAGACAGAGCGTAGTTGCCGTCACTGGATAATACGACGTCAGAGATGAAGTGAGAGTGACCGTACAGACGCTTCTGGGGGACTCCGTAGTTGGTTTCGTCTCTGGTCAGCTTCCATACGATGAGGGTCTTGTCTGAAAAGCAATTCGGAATTGATGATTAGAGCACGTCAACTCAACAAGGTGTTGATACTAAGTAAGAAAACGATATCATCAGCCCCATATCCGCTTGCCGCTCAGGAGTCGCGTGGCAAAAGATTGTGTCATCATGTAAATATTTTGAAATTAGTACAAATCGTCCAATTTACTACAGACTTCGAGAGATGTTATGTTAATAAATACAGTAATTTCAATGATGATCATGGATTTATATAGGTATGTGAAAATTGTGAAATATAACCTTACCTCGAGACGACGATAAAATCATGTCAGGGTATTTCGGGTTGGTTGCAATTTGCGTAACCCAGCCATTGTGGCCGCAGAGGGTTCCTCGAAGCTTCAATGTTTCAGTCATTTTCAAGAAAACTTGTTGTGCGGCTCAACACCAACACTCCAGACCCCGACTCAAAAGTAAAAAGACCGGAATTGGTTTTGGCAGTTGAGGGGAGGATTCATTCGTTGAAACTTTTTAATTTCCAGTTTTGGGTATAGGTAATTTTGGCAGTGTCTATGGTTAAAATCAGATGGGTGATTTCTCTGTCGAATATAAATACTCAAATTGGTTAAATACTAAGTACAATTAAACAGTACAATTAAACCGTTTTATCTGCATTCTAAAGTAATAATATTTTTTGGGATCTGTTAGCAATCGGCGGCGCAGCGCTACCCATAATAGCATAATACGCCAGAAAAAGCAGAGGATTTACATATGTGTTGCCGGCCTCCTGGGATTAGACATTAACATTTACATTTACTTATACTAGTACTTCAATGTGGTCTAAAAATACCTACTATTTTTTCATATTCATACCATTTTTTTACTTTATTCAAAATCCAAACTCTAGCACTGCAACTCATTCTAACAACATTCGACAATCATATTGTTGAATGAAATGGAAATATTTGAAAAACGAAAGTGTCAAGTTTTCAATAAAATTCAAAAGAAAATTGTGAAGTTGAATTATTTTGTCTTGACATTATAATAAACTGAAAGAAGACTGATAAAATTTTGGCAATTATTTGCTTATTTTAAGCTTTTTCAGGAATTAACGTATAATAAATATATTTTCCTAGATGGATTTTATTGTCGAAGCTCCGCAAACAATGGCAAAAGCAAAAATTGTACCATCGGGCTCCATAAAAGTATGTAACTTAAAATATTAAATATTTCACAATTACTGTTTAAATTATTATACATTATACTTTGATCTAATGATTGCATTGGTTTGCTTTTGTGCAATGCAATATTATAGAAAAATTATTTACAAAATGTTAAATTTGAACGCATCCATTAGTAGCATCATCATCTAGTTCCCATAAAAGCCGCTTGGCGTATTTCTTTTCTGAAAATTGACGTCACGCAAACGCCATTTTGTAAAGTGTCCGCCGTAGTCAGTTTTCTGGGCACAGTGGAAAATACGTAATTCGCATGGTTTTGTGTACATTTAAAACATAAAGACAATCAAAATCACAGTTAACGTCTCGTACGTTAATCTCACAGACACAAAGTATGGAGGACAAGGCGTCGTTAAAAGAACTGGATCAGTGGATAGAACAACTAAATGAATGCAAGCAATTGACAGAAAATCAAGTAAAAACGTTATGCGACAAGGTAATGTACCTTTGAATTCATCATTAGATAATGGGTTTAGTGGTTTTGTGATCGATTCTATGCGTTTTGTATATATTTTCGTGGGGTCGGTAGCTATATGATGAATGATTCATATACCTACATAGCGACTTACAAGAACGCGATCCTACATCGTTTATAGGTTGTGGTCGAAGCCGTCGGCCGTTGGTACGCTAATCGTTCCGGGATGTCGGGGATGGAGAGAGTTTTGTAGTCGTACTAGCACCTCTGTTTACCACACCCAGCTATCAATCTATCCTGGTTGATATTAGCCTAATTGGTTAGAAGATATTTATAGACGCGGCGCGGAAAGTCTGATAATCAATTAACACTAGTTTTGTAGAATTGTAGGTTTAGATGTTTACCATGGATGTTTTCATTGATTTTTTTTTATTGCTTTGGTAAATTGTATCTGCTGCCGAGAAAATATGATTGATTGATTGGTTATTGCATTTCAGTGCCATTGAGAAATTAACAACTTTCAAATATTGATTTTTTCATTAGGTATTTGCCACTTTTATTATGAAACTTTAAAACAGAGCTAGAGGTTTTAAATACTTGTAAGATTTAGTGTATATTTCATGTATTTTATATGGGTTTATCTGCTTATGATATAAAAGAGTTTAGGAAACTAGTATGTGATGTGTAGTACTGTGATAATTTATCTGACATCTCCATACTTAATTACAGTTTCAAAACAGATAATAATCAAAGCATATTATTTCCTTTTGGGTCCATGTAATCTAGACAATATACTGTCTTTAAAAGCTTGAACTAAGTGCATCAATCAATAATTTTTTTAATGTTTACAAACTCTTAGTGATAGTTTTTGTTTTATGCACAATATTCATTTTTTTGCTTGTTTGGCCATAATCGAAATATCACCACAACATCAGCAATGTTTTTATTGAAATTCATAATGAACTGGCACTTTCAAAATATTTTGAAACATTTGTTTCATTGAGAAATCCAACCAATCATTTGAAATTCATTTTTTTTTTGTTTATCTTTCATAAGCATAAATGAATAGGATGCTGATTCATTAATGACAAACAATTAATTGAAAAAGGTAAGTACCAAGGATAGCACGTAAAATAGCAATTATTATCACTAACCTCATTTAGACACCTGAATTGAATGGTTTATCTATTATAATAGAATAAATAAATCAATTAATTATCAATTCAGGTCTGAAAGCACTTAAAATCTTGATAATTAGTGTCTGATTCACAACATAATGCAATTTACTGTGAATAGACAATATAGACCATAGTGCATTATATCCAGTTTTATGCTTGGCATTAAGGAAAAAAGGTTTTAATCAAATTTGCAAGATATTAAGTTACTATTATGCATCCTGTATGTTACAATACTGGTACACAGTTGTGACAATTATCTAAAAGGATGTTACCATTACCATGTGTTTAATTAGTTCAGTTAGATATCATCTGCCATACATTACTCTTCATTGAGAATTTAAATCATTTGCATGATATTAAAAACATATAATTTTATTAAAAGGTGATTTGATGACTGTATACTATAGGCTAAATACTTTCTTAGTAACATAGAGTTTGTCTATATTAGGCTATTCTTAAATTATTTTAATACTCTTTGTTATGTAATAACAAAACTGCATTAAGCAGTGTTATTATGTTTTGTTTGCATTTTTATCTTAAAAATTGAGGTATTAAGTCTGTTATCAGCTGATATTTTCTTTAGTATTTTGTTGGATCCTTTTGATAGTATAGTCCTTTCACCTCAGAAAAGGTTGTCTATGGTTTAAAATAGTCTGTTTCATTAGTTATGGGTCATTTCATCTCTGAACTCAAGTCTTTGAAGATTAAAGCTGTATGTTTGTATAGTCTAGAATACAGTAACATGATGAATATCATTATACCACCCACAGGTTGTCCACACTGTTGAGCATAAGCCTTCATTCATGTCTTCTACATTGGACAGTGTATTTTCTGTATTTGTTAATTTATTACTTGTATATAAACTGTCAAACACCACAAGGGCACCAGTGTCCGCACACTTATTGTTCTTTTGTTGTGTCTATAATGACGGTTCTCCAAGGGTTAAACATAGGTGAAACTGGGAGTTACATTACATTTGTCCCCCTCTGTCTACACTTCAGGGTTTAAAAGGAGTGTCATTATGTTATGGTAAACAACATTTGATTGGGTTTCTATGTATGTAATGTACATACTTGTGGTTGGGGGATACATGCCTAGGATTTCCAATTATAGTTTTCCTCTTAAAATCAGTATGATGACTCAAAATGTCAATTAAAGTAAATTGTTTTGAATAAATTAGATTTAGCTTCACTAATGCAAGTTGATAATAGGATCTTGCTTTGGATTCAATAAAAGTGGCGAACACTAGTTCAATCCGCTATATTTTATCAGTTGTGACTTCATAAACTAGATTCTGTGCAGTTTGTATTGTTTTTATTGTGTTTCAACCAACATAGTATTTATTATATGCAATCCCCCACTGTTTGAACATGTATTGCTAAAATGTTCAATAATAAGTATTGAATATTTTAGCCAGTGAAAAGAACCTAAAAGTAGATTTTGATCAAGGATCTTGAAAAATGTTATCTGAGAACAATTTCGAAACTTAGGTTTCTCTTTTTTATATTTTGTCTATTGATTTATTTTATTGTGTGCTGCAGCATAGATAATTCAAAGGAGGTTCTAGTCACGATGGTATGCAAACACGTCTGCTGATATATTAGAACCATTAGATAGATAATAACACATTGAAAAATATGCATACAATGCTAATTATCTCTTATTATTCTATCGCTAAACTGCACGTGTTCTATACATATTTATAATATTTCTCTCGCCCACACGTGTGCTGTCGACTGCACAATTGCTCAGCATTGAGCTACATTGAGCCTCCCCACAGACAAATTAGTGGTGCTCGTGTTTAAATTATGCGAGTTGGTTTCTTGTTAAAAAATCACGCACGCTGATTTTAAGACTTATCTATGAATCATCGATAAACATACGTCAGATGACGCCCGATCGTGGAATACGATGAACAAAGAGATTTAATTAATCCCTATCATTATGAATTACGATTGGTTGCCAACTTTCCAATTCAACCTATCTTTCCCAAAGCTCTGTTCCCTATAAAATCTATATCCGGCTTTGCTACACCTCTGTGATTAAAAGTACGCTTTTCTAAAACAGTTTTTCTTCTAGACAAGCGACTTTTTCACAGCAGGTGAATACTTAGAACGTCGTCCGTTCTATGTATTTTTTCAAACAAACGGTAGACTATGGAACCGTACCGAGTACAGTTGACGATCTCGTGTACGTATTGTCATTTCACAAATGCTTGTTGGGCTTGTTGTTGTGTTGTCATACTTTTGTTATCAAATCCGCCAAGGTCTAGGGAAGACTGGCAACAAATATGACCTTTTCGCGCTTACTAAATTCATACATAAATGCAAATGGACGCTCACCAACTTGTTAGACTACTTTAAAAATTTGCAAAGGCTTCATAATGATATTCTTGGCGTGTCTTTTTATTATTTTTACTATTGTATACGTGGCTAGATTTTGTATTGCGTCGCTAGAAATTTGGCACCTTTCATACACCATGATTATCGGAATACTATCATTAACACATGCAAGTGCTGCATGATAGCTGGTAGATGGTGTACTATATTACATTCTCTAATCTAAATACAGATTAGATGGCAAAAACATATTCGACCTTGAGTGATGAGCATCGAACAACTCTACAGGGAAGATTTATTATACCGAGAGATAAATGTTACATCGGTATCGGGAATTTATGGGAGCATGGACATTTTGTCGAGCTGTATACAAAAACGAAACTTGTCTACGCTAAAAAAAAGATATTTTTGTTCAGTCGCCACTGAAAACAAAATTGTATTGCTATAGTCGGGTCTTTCACCTTACCGTAGACTTTTGAATAGTTATATTATTGTCTGTAGTAAACTGTAGAAAGGGCAGAAGCATCAAACATAAAACAATAATTCACGACGCAGGTTGTAAAGTTAAAAGATCCTTGATTGTCAAATTTTGACCTTTGATGGCATATTAATTTAATTTAACCTTAATAAAATAATTATGCATAATGTATGTTCCATCGAACTCGCTAGGAATACATTGGTAACATTGGTAGTTTCTTTTACTTAGTATTCATACACTTCTTGAATGTTGATACGTAATTTCGATGTCTACGTAGCTCTATGCTAATTTCGGAATACAGATAACACATTAACTCGTAAAAAAAATAAATCAACAGAGTCTATTTGCGTTCGTGAATAGAAATCGAATAGGAATGAATAGAGCTCCAACCCATGATATTGTGTTAACAATCGAGATTAATTTCAATCAAACCGAAGGCTATTATAATATCAATACATGCCTTTTAGGGATACGTAATCGTGATACATGTATATCATTCTGTTTATTTTGGCGCCGCCTTGTTTTAATTTAGAACCTAATGTTTTCATTCAAATAAGGACAGGAGGGAGCTCATCAAAAGAATGAATTAATGCTTGTTTGGCAACTACGTGTTATTTATTACTCTATGTTGATTAGTAGGCTTTATTTACAAAAAAAAACTAATGTTACTAGAATGATACATACGAACCTCAAACATTGACGGTTCAGTAATGCGTAACTAGTTTACTTACATAATGTTCTTACCTAACAGATTAGCTAGTTTCCTACGTTTCATATTTACAGTGACCGCTAATCTTCAGCCAATTTGAGGCAATGTAACATCGTTATTTCTGCAGCGGGAAGCTTTCCACCCTACTGTTATTGATTACACGTGACCCGCCGCCTCAACCTAAATACGAGCAATAACTTTTAAGTTATGAATGTTCTGCCCAGTCCTGTTCGTGTGTTTACTCAGTTTTCCGGGTTGGAAAATGTCATTGTTAAAATTCCAGTTTTGTTATGTTTCCTTTCCTATTATGTATTTACTTTAACAAAATATGTTCGTGTTAAAGGAGTGTATTTCGATTGTTATCCTAAACATTGCCCTTTGTCGCGGAGAACCTAACGGGTCACCCGGGCTCCGGCTCGACGTGCAGGAGAAGGAACGGGGTGGTTTTTAGTCAGTAAGAGTCTGATACTCCCTCCCGCCTCACCCAGGCGGAAGCAGTCATTCGATGACATTCCCCCCTTAAAAAAAACACAAACATTGCCCTTTCAATTCCTTCCCAAGAAGAAAAAACGTATTATTAGCAAGAGCATCTGCAGAATATATTAATTATTCTAATCTCCTAGTCTCTGAGAATATACATAGTACTTCAATCCATACAAAGTCCCGACTAGCGAAGCTCTATCCAAAGACAGGTAGCTGCACGGTTGGATACCTATACGATTATGTTTAACTTTGTTAGCCAGACAAAAGTACGTCATGTTATTGAATAGACCTTTCGTGTTTTTCCAGCCAGTGATTATATCAGAGTACCCACGCTTAACGTCCAACTAAGTCCTGTCTTTTGTACTATAATGAAATGTCATTAGCACTCGTGATAATTTTCATTATACTCGTTCTTTGTTGGCTGTATTATTTCAGTGTATGTACTGATACGTTCTACACTTATTTACCTTACGTACTAAATGGAATGTTGATTACAAAATGTATTTCTCGGTATTTTTTCAACAATATTGGCGAGCTTACTCCGGACGTGATACGCCTAACAGAGCAGAGGATTATTTATCGCTGTCCTATAGGTGAAAAATGTCTAACCCACATCAATTATCAACGCTCGACCCTCCAGCAAAACAATCTAATATCAGTATTATCAATGAACGCATTTCTTTTGGTGTTCACCAGTTGGCGCCACTGTCGTAAAATGTATTGTACCAATCGCATTTGTTGTCAAAAAGTTTATTTACCAATCAGTTGTTTACTCGTCGCTATTGGTCCGGACGACGCAAGCGATGCAATATCACTCATTAATTTGTGCTGACGTATCAGCTGATTATTGCAATCATACGTAATTTGCACTCGTCTGAAGGAAAGGTTATCTCTGAACATATCGCATTTATCGAATAGGCATAGTTAATCTTTCTCATGGCCCTTAATTATACTGGGCTGATATTGACTCACAGCTAAGGCCGCTCATTCGTTGACCAATGTACCGACATAATTAAATAATGATGGTAGAAAGATGCGATGGAAATAGTAGCAAAATTGCATACGGGCGCTATTAAGTAATTAAACTAATCTTCAGACTGAAGTATCCACTCAAAGAAAGACCATTGCTAAGGCTTTGAGTATTCCATCTACGTTTATTGCGTTTTTGTTCAAAGACAAGTGGACAATGTGCCCTTTATAAGTCAGAAGTACCATAGAACATAAGGTTTAACAGCTTCATTCAAACGTGTATACGCTGTTATTAAAATGACCAGACCAAATACAGACAATATGTTTAAATAAACCTAAAGCCCATTTTGGACAGACTATTGTTGACAATTATTCTATTGTTCTAACAGGATTATGTTAGGAAACGAAATTAGTGGACGTTGAATACAAGATGATTATAAAACAATTATTGACATATTAAACAATTTCGTAGTGAGTGATTTATTTATCCAAATAATTCGTATTGTCATTAGATTAAGTGTGGGAGAGCTATGCTTCGGCACGAATGGGCCGGCTCGACCGGAGTGATACCACGGCATCACAGAAAACCGACGTGAAGCAACGCTTGCGTTGTGTTTTGTCGTGCGAGTGAGGTTACCGGAGGCCCTATTACCCTCCCCTTCCCCAATCTTCCCAATCCCTGAATCCCCAACGATCCTCAAACTCCTAATCTCTAAAAGGCCGGTAACGCCCTTGTAACGCCTCTGGTGTTCCAGGTGTCCATGGGCGACGCCGATAGCTTACCATCAGGTGATCCGTCTGCTCGTTTACCGGCTTATGCCATAAAAAAAAAATAATATAAAGCATTTTCTTGTAAGTTGTTTGAAAGTCGCCAGTTTGTTCCCCCATTTTTCTCGAATACTTTTAAAAGAATAATTAGGGTCAAAAGAAGATCCCTTTTTGAACCAAAAAGTTGCTTACGTCTTCATCAATATTTATGTTACTTCGAACTTATCTATGGATCGGTACTGTCGTGTCCTATTATATTTTTTTAGCAATATCCCCGCAAAGATTGTTTGTTCTATCTCTGTATGTGGTATGTCCTTGTTTTTCGTTGAGTTTTATGACCTTCAGCCACTATTGGATGATTCTCAACATTAGGTCAAGTACCTAATGTAAATAATTGGATATTTGTTCTATCTGCATTCGTATTTTTTGGTGAATTTGCAAATACTTGAGCTTCATGAGGATGTGTTGTTTGGTGTTGCAGTACTGGAGGCGAAATAATATCTTTCCACTAGGCTAATAAATGTAGCATTCTTTATTTTAATTTTGTATCATTAACTTCCTTTGCTTACGTGATCTTCTATCTTTGCAGGCAAAGGAGATCCTAACGAAGGAGTCTAACGTCCAGGAGGTGAAATGCCCGGTGACAGTTTGCGGGGATGTCCACGGACAGTTCCACGACCTGATGGAGTTGTTCCGTATCGGCGGGCGCTCCCCTGACACCAACTATCTATTCATGGGCGACTACGTCGACCGCGGATACTACAGCGTCGAGACCGTCACATTGCTCGTCGCGCTTAAGGTAAAGTAACAACAATGTGTATAAAACAATCGATGTATGACGTAATGGTTATTCAGCGAAAGTGTGACGAGTGTATACGTAGGTCCATGTGACTGGCCGGTGACGAAACCAGGGCTATGACTGTTTGTTACCTGTAATTTATGTGGGGAACTAATGACTGACGCGTGACGCTGACCACTGGTATTTGTCATCTTTATTGGTGTAGGTTTTCTTGACACACCTATTTTGAAGTGTTATGTGTGATATGAATTGGAGTCACTGCCTTACAATTAATAGCCTGTACAAAGTAGATTAGAATGAATGTCAAATAACAAAACAAGCACTTACATCCGATCAGACGAGTAAGCATGACAAACCTTTTATTTAGCTTGACTAACGCACCAATTCGCCTACCAGTTCACCATATTTCCATAGACCGGAAACCTTATGCTATAAATAGCTTTTATACTCCTTTGCTTCCACGCAGGGAGTTCGGTACATTATCTGATTCTGTAACTGTCTGAGCTATGTATAATGTGACAATGCGACACTTGTACACGCAGTCAATGTACTTTCCCAAGCAGAACTAACAGTAAATACATGTATAAGACATCGAATATACGTTTACTGCCAATGCGTTGCTACGACCTGACATATTTGCTATCACAATACATTTTCGCTAAGTCCAAATAAAACAAGGTACCAAGTCACCTTCACGAAGTCTACGTGCAATCGTGATTTTCGCGAAAAAAATAATTTACATGTCGGTTCAAATGATTACGTGACTCGGAGCAAGTAGAATTTGCTTTGATAAACGCAATAGAAGCAACTGTATGCTGCCCCACAATTGTATCAACATCTCCAATTTGTTTGGAACAGATTCCGTATAATCAATTTAGAATCGATGAAAAATAAAAACACGTAGAGATACGTTCATAATTCGATTCTGTAGTCTGTACTCCTACACGTATGCTGGAGCTATCTCTTTCCTCGTATATTGAAAATTCGTAAACACTTTCTTTGTTTGTCTGTTACAATTTGGTGTCACGTGATAAGGAGTGCTTATCACCCGGTATCTTTGATAAAGTTCGGTCACTGTTTACATAGCCTTATCAAGAGATTTTCCGTGTGAGGCGTGTTGTAATTGTAATAAGTCTAAGAGTACGTACATCTTAATGTACAAAACTAAGGTTAATAACAAAGATATGCCTTTATATTATCCTCTCTAGAATGGAGGATTTATTTAATTTAGGTATTATTATAATATTTTGTTACGTTCTGTATGTTAAGATTAATCTCTAGTCTGTTTACTTGGTGAAACCTAATTAAAAAGTTAGTCATGTATCTTATTGCTTGTTGGACGCGGCTATCTCTGGTATTACCAGATAAAAAAATCCTTTTTGAACATTCTAATCCCATTATTGAGGAAAACTGTACAATATTTAATTAGGACCCATGTAGATGTTATAAATGAAATATTAACGAAATCTTTGAACAAATAAAATTCTCTCAAGATTATTAACTTCATAGATGGTTAAAAAATAGCCCGTCGACGTTGATAGACTGCCCACTTTCTTAGTTATTTTTGTTCAGTATATTTATTGCGTGTAATACAATAGCGATATCTAGTTGCAAAGTGGGTGTTGCTTATTTAATTATTTTCCTACAGCTACATACTAAGGCGGGCTGACGTTTATTATCCATGTCTTTTGTAATTTAATGTTGCCACTTAATTATTTGTACCATCTTTTTAACAATGGCACCCAGTAAGGCAGCCCTTTTATGGAAAAAAAAACCGATTAAACATCGCTTATGCAGCTTGAATTATTTTTGTATTGAGAATTCTGTTTCCAAAATTCAGTTTTAGGAATTTTATTGTTGTACCTGTACCCTGTAGATGAAGTATATTCAACCCCTTTCACCGGGAAATAACAGTAGTGCTACAATGATTTATTCTAGTTAGTGCGTATATTTATTATTTACGTGAGCCTTTTTAAAATATTTTCTACGTACGGTGCAACGCTCCTAAGCATTAATGTCACATTTCCGTTAAATATTTGAATATGATGCCTAGGTACCTCTACAAAAACAATACAAAATCGCCTTAAAAATGTACAAAACAAAGTAATAAAAATGGTCATTCGTATTACTGTACCGAGTTTTCAGAATTTACATTGAAAAGGTGTAATTACGTGTTTATAGAAATTAGTCGCCTTTCGTGACTACAAGGGCAAAACTATTTTGTACGAATACGAGGTTGGATATGGAACTGTTTTACTTTCCAATCGAAACTGTGCTACTATATGGAACGTTAGTACCTACATTTAAAAAACGTATCACCCAAATTCTTCATGTAAAGTAGCACGGCTGGCTACAAAGTATATGTGCGTTAATTTCAAGTACAATTGTTGAACAGATCCGCACATGTCCTGGATTTCGCCCCGGCCGGGTTAAAAATTATTGTATTACAATGTCTGAAATTTTATTTAGATCTATCTCCTGTAATATTGTGTTAGAAAAATGATTAACTTTGTACTAATTGGAACAACATCGTTTACAGGTTCGATACCGCGAGAGAATAACAATCCTCCGTGGAAACCACGAGTCGAGGCAGATCACTCAGGTGTACGGTTTCTACGACGAATGCCTCCGTAAATACGGCAATGCGTCCGTATGGAAGCACTTCACCGACTTGTTCGACTTCCTGCCCCTCACCGCGCTGGTCGACGGCCAGATCTTCTGCCTGCACGGTGGTCTCAGCCCCTCCATCGATACCCTGGACCACATCCGCGCCCTCGACCGCCTGCAGGAGGTGCCTCATGAAGGTCCCATGTGCGATCTGCTCTGGAGCGATCCTGATGACAGGTCAGTACTAACAAATAGGTGACTTTGAGAAGATTGATGACTGCGCACTGCACACAAATATCTTATCTTGATTGAAGCACTTTAGCTATTGGTTTTTGTATACAAATTGGGATATTGTTGAAAATCTGCCGTGTCATTGTAGCTCTAACGTTAATAGTCATAAATACTCGTGTAAATGGCTAGTATGTTGTGAACTTGGAATTCATACACTTTTCGTCTTACTTTTTATATAACTTTAGGCGTTCACAAGACAACGGCGTATAACATCACATTGTATGAACTATAAATATTTTTGTCTTAGTCACCGAACTAAGTAAACTTTATAATTCCTTGACGTAATACTATAAATATTTTTATAATACCGCACAAATTGTGTTTCAAAGTAAAGGATGCGTAACAGGAAATCCTCATGAAACCTTACAATTACAAACAATTACCTAGTGCTTACGTGTCACACAGCCGCACAGCTGAATGCCACATCGTAAAAGTTCACTTAAGGTCATTGCGTTTTACGTAATTTCGAAGTTCTGTGAGATCATCGAATGCGGCGCTCATGCGTGAGGGAGACTCGTGCATCCGATAACAAAAATATAAATATGTGTGCAACAATAAACACCTCAAGAGGTCAAGGACGGACAACGTGTCATCCGCGTACTAATTGTATAGGTAGCGTCATCCTCGCTAATTATACTAGTAGTAGGCACTAATCTGGGCACGCTGTCACAATATTTAAAGATGAACACATTCATAAAAAAAATATTTATACTCTATGGTCATCTCACTGGCAACATCATTGTACTTCTTTGTGCACGACCTGTCACGTCGTACCCTGGAAAATTTTTCAATTTAATTTGGTGATTTTCCTACTAAATGGGTCGAAAACGTCGCAAGCAGATAGGAAAACTGATGGAGTGTATGCAGGAATTGGATAATTGGGCGAAACCGGCGAGAGGACGCATTCGTTGTCGTCAGTTTGGTAAGTTTTTTCTTGTAGGTACTTACACCACATTGTGGGGCGTTTTCCAATAGCTTCCACAAGCGGATAGCCTTGAGAATGATTGTGTACGCAACATACACACTTGAAACGTACCATAAGAGCCCTCAGGAGAGGTGAGCCATTGGTTATACGTTTTCTATATACCTAGATTAAACCACAAGAGCCTTCACGAGAGGTCGGCCGTTGGTTACACGTTTACTATAGATCGAAACCACAAGAGCCTTCACGAGAGGTTGGCCGTTGGTTACATGTTTACTATAGATTAAACCACAAGAGCCTTCACGAGAGGTTGGCCGTTGGTTACATGTTTACTATAGATCGAACCACAAGAGCCTTCACGAGAGGTTGGCCGTTGGTTACATGTTTACTGTAGATCGAACCACAAGAGCCTTCACGAGAGGTTGGCCGTTGGTAACTCTACTATAGAATTAACCACAAGAGCTTTCACGAGAGGTTAGCCATTGGTTTACTTGACTTTGGAACGAACCACAAGAGCTTTCACGAGAGGTCAGCCGTTGGTTACTTGACTTTGAAGCAAACCACAAGAGCTTTCACGAGAGGTTAGCCACGGGTTTAAGTCACATTTAGTCAAACATTTCCAACTGCAATCCTAGAGCTTTCACGAGAGGTTAGCCGTGGATCATTTAAACTACCTTGCAGTTAGAAACTTAAAATCAGTTCGCTTTGCCTCAGAAGAACATGAAGCCATTCCAGTTGAAGCCGCTCACCATGGCATGGCACCGAAGCCAATCAACATGAGTTGGAAACTACTCCTATAGTCTCGCTCCAGTCAGTAAATATACTCCGGAGCAATTGCTACCTATGCTTATGGGAAATGGGACATTTCCTTAGCCAGCTATTCCATAGTGTTGCATGTTGGACAAAGCCATTCTTATCAAATGATTACACTTATTTTCCCTTTTCATAATTATTATAACCTAATTCCTCCCAATGTCTCAAATAAATGAGGAGGGGAGGAGGTGCCACTAAATAAAGATGGGATTGAGTGAGACGATAGGATTGTGAATATCAAATGACTCTAGGAGCAGTTACTGTTCGCAAATTAATTAACAAACCTATTAAAGATTTTAAGGATACAGCCAGACTGCTCTGTAAATTATTAACATGTGCCCCTGAATGAAGATCAGAACACAAATAGGTGTTCTAGCTATATATACAGTAATAAATAGTGCTTCAAGACAAGTTTATTGCAAGTAAAGCTATCAGAGAGTCTAAACTTGAATTGGAGAACATCCAAGAAAACCTTTTAGACTACCAACTTCATGCCAACCACATCAACAAACACTGTGTGATGTACAAACAACAAGTGTGTGTGTGTGTGTGTGTGTGAGCAAAAACCAAAACTAAAGCGAACACATGATTACAAGAAAATCAACAAGGCCGATGCATCCTCTACAGAATTTCTAATTCTACCCACAGCACTGAGGTCCGGATCATCGCTAGTACAGGTAGATCACATTACCTTTCTGAACAATAGAGTTCTGCTTTAGGTTTCCCAACCATACTTAGTTGGATTAATAGGTATAAATTACCATCACTGATATTCCTGTTCAGACAAATATACCACAAAATACCCACATAGGTGTAAAAGCAAAATAATTTTACTTCTGAAGGAAAATTGTTAAAGCTAAGGTGCTGTACTGTACCATATATGTAGATAACTGACTAAGTGATTACTTGCCAGTTTATCTTCACATTCCAGAACAAATGGTCCTTCAGGCAATTAAATAATTAAGGACTATAATAAATTATGTTACTATTAATATAAACAATGGATCTAGAACCATTTCTAAAACTCCTCATATGTTGAAGTGTCTTCAGATGCATGATCAACTTAAGAATGCATTTTATTTAATATCAGTGAAGGAAAATGGTGAATGACAAACATTTGCGGTTCTTATTTGTCTTCCCAAAGAGTAACCTTATACATTGTATAGTATTGATTACACGAAATTATGTTGATGATATTCCTTAATTTTGCAGAACATAAGAAATGTCTAGACTATATTACTAATACAGAACCTTACAGAAGTATTCTTGTAAACTTGGTATAGTATTAAATATTATTTATACTGAAAAGGGTGATTCTTTCAGTATATAGGATTAATTTCTTACTCTAGACAACTCTATATAAGTGCCACTTAAAAAGGTGGATTTTATTACAAGTATAATGAAAATTGTATGACCTAAACAAAAAGTTGCAGATTTTTGATTCCGTTCAACTTTAAAGTTAACATTGTTTGCTCGCCCAGCTATGGAATTTGGCTGGCTCCATGTTAAAATTAGGTTAATAATTGAAATTGTAAGGCCAATATAATAACTATTAAGCGAATACGCACAACAAAATATTCACTGTAAACAATATTTACGTTTGTTTGACATGTTGACATTAAAACATCAGATGTCAAATACGTTCTGTTTTACCAAAAAGAACTTGAACACTTGTTATTTAAGTTAATCTAGAATAAATGTTTACACCTTAAAAGAAAATAAGGCCGGTAAAGAAATACCTAAATAAACTCAGATGTCCCATTCGCACGAGTTTAAATCAAAGTTTGCCTCCAAAACCACTTGGTGTATCACGCCAAAGATCTATAGGCAAACAAGTATAAGAGACTGAAATATATGTATCATGGGTTCCTGACCCTGATATCTTTACTGTTGTTTTCACTATTCAGTAAGTGCAGGAAGATTCTTTTTCCATGCCCTCCTTCTTTTCGGAATTTTAAAAGTCATAAAGAGATAAAGGGGGGGGGGGTATATGCAAAGGTTATTAGGATCCATTATTGATACCCACGGTTCAACTCAAGTTTCTGAACCTCATTAAGTTCTAGTGTTATCTCTGGTTGTTTCCTTCCAGAAGTTCACCCACTTTACACAACATATACAATGTAGTCACCACCATATAATCAGGAATGAATTCCTAAGAAAAGGAATAGGTACTGCATTCTATGGGAATAATGCTAGCATCACATTGTAAAGTAAAACAAAACAGCAATACGACTTTGCTTTGACTTTTTCAGCATATGTATCCGTTGTGATTATTATATTTTTACTTCTAAATTTACCTATCATACAGTTTATTGAATACTATTAGATAGGTACTTCATTAGTCCTAGGTCCTCTTGTGTGAAATTATTAAGAAACTACCTACAAGATTTTTTAGAAGTGTATACAAATTAAGGCCAAAAAGAAAAAGAAACTTTAATATGTGGTGTGCGGTTCCAGTTTTATTCTAAAATAGGTACATAATTGTGTATTATTACAATTATTATTTAAAACCCTGAGGGTTACTGGTAGAATATGCCACTTGGAATCAAGTTCACCATGTACCGTAACTTTATTGTATTGTGTACATGACAATCTAAATAAATCAATATTATTATGTACCTGTATGTACTCCAATGATAATCTTAGCTTAAAACTTTAGTTTAAAACATCAATTAATTAGCACATATAATTCACACTATCTCTATCACTATAGATTGTACCTAAATGATAATGCCAATAAACCTGAACCATATTTAATAGTACCTACCTACCTACTATTTTTTATTTTTAAGAACAATTTTTAAATCATTGTTCTGGGATCAATCATATTCTACAATTTCAAGTGAATGTATGTCTAGTACTATAACAGTGGACTCTCAACCTCTTCTAAAGCCTCACAGAGATGTATCAATCAGTATCAAAGTCATATATTTAAGTAAGACGACTGCCTGGTCAGTCAATCCATTTTTCCACCAACAATCCTAATATTGCATGAGCTTATTAGCTCTGTATATCACTATGTATGGAGTCATGATCATAATGTAGATCTACTGAAAATGGAGAAGTTAGATAATATATATACAAAAAAAAAAAAAAAAAAAAGAAACTGATAATTTTGAAGAAAACAACCTATTGAAAGACGTTAAATTTTCGCAATAGACTGAATTTGAACAACGTTATAGTTCAAAACGTACATAGTAGGTGTACCTATAGTTGGTGTAGTGGACACCAGAATTTCAAGATAATAATATTGTTGCTATGCTTACTAAATAATTAAATTAATAAATAAGGACATTTAATTATTTTTCCATCACAATACATAATGATGTAGATCTTAATATTAATCTTATAATATTGACATAAGCTTGTTTCTTCTCTTCACTTCACTTTGGTTCTACATAGGGTTAATGCAGTTTACCTGACAATACAATGATGAAAGTCAGGAACCCAAACTAAGATAACCCGTGCTTTGGGCTTCTGTTTATTTTTAATACTATTTTTAAAATGTATTTAATTTTATAAGTATTTTTATTTGATAAAAATGATTGAAAACAATACCATAACCATAAGTAGCTATTATATCTAATAATGGTTTAGTGGCTTACATCTTGGGGAAATTATAAACGTAATTTGATTATTGCTTAAGTTTTTACTAGTACTATATAGTACTCGTGAGATATTGATGTTATTGACAATGTCATATATCTTGTTTAAGTGCAACAATGTTCAATGATTAAACAGTGTTGTTTGTCAACACAACTCCTTCTTTGAACGTCTACTAGTATAATTAGCGAGGATGACGCTACCTATACAATTAAATAGATCGGACTAACTTACCTGTGACGTCCGATCCTCAATTGTGTAGGTAGCGTCATCCTCGCTAGGTCCCAACCCTTCCCGGATAATAAACATGTTTATTTTTACCCCTGGTCGAGTTGTGTTGCAGTTGCAGGTGCTTTGAAGTAAATGATGTTGCCAGTGAGATGACCATAGAGTATAAATATTTTTTTTATGAATGTGTTCATCTTTAAATATTGTGACAGCGTGCCCAGATTAGTGCCTACTACTAGTATAATTAGCGAGGATGACGCTACCTACACAATTGAGGATCGGACGTCACAGGTAAGTTAGTCCGATCTATTTAATTATAGTGCCGCTGCCGCGACGCGGCGCGTCCTAAGCGTTATCTCCATCAGTGGGTGACATTAACTAGGTTATATTATTGATTTTACGATATCAAATAGGTACATACTTAACTACATTTTAATATTGTGTGCATGTTAATTCGGTGTTCGACCTTGGTCTTGTTAGATCCCCTGATAACTGCTACTTACGACTTTGTTATTTGGTACACGAACGTCTGGGAGCTACCGAGCGCCGAGTAATCGGTTGACCGGGCGCTCGAGTTCCGGAAAGATAATTAATAAATATATTGACTAATTATAAAGTGTTTATGAAGGGAAATAGTTTGTTATCGTTGTTTGTTAAGTGGGGTGATGTAGCGTTGAATGACTTTCATTTGAGTCGGCTATCAGGTACTGAGTTCATGTGAAACAAGTATTGCAGGCTAGAAATAGAAAGACTTGTTTATTATGTTTTTGGTTAATTGCAAACTGATGCTTTACTCGTCTTTAAACTGTCAAACACCAAGCGGTCACCGGTGACCGCAACCTATTGTTCTATAATTGTGTCTTCAAAACCGGTACTCGACGAGTTAATTTTCATTCATATGTAGTGCTGTAGCTGTAAGTGATTTGCAAAATAAAATAGTGGCTTAGCTCGGCAAGGTCTAATAGAATCGACATTAAGGTGCTAAACAGTTGTTTAATTTGCTATTGCATCATCACCTTACCAGTCGAGCTAGCACTTAGAATTGCAGTCGGTTTTTTCTAATTTGTTAAACAAGTAAATTGAAATTTATTGTAGTTAAAAGTTATGGGGCTTCATTTGGGAATGAACTAATGTTCTTTATTTAGTTTTTGTTTAGTTAGTCAGTTTAGTAGGAACTACAATTCTTGTAGCTTGTAGGAGAATTCTGGTACTTACGTCGAAATTTTCTGTGAATTTAGCACATTACAGTTGTGCACTTGTATACGATTTGGTTCATTAAAGTGTGCACATTATTTCATAGTTGACTTGATTATTCCGAGTGACCTATTTCGTCAGTCGATGTTTAAAGAAATTGCTAGTGTGACCTCAATTACGTCAGACCAAAGATTGAATCTAGACATTAATTTCCTTTTGTATTCGAAACGAGTAAGTTTAAAGTCGCATATAAATAGTCCGCCTTGAACAAACGCTTATTTCTTTTTATGTGAAAAGAGACCTTTGCGTATCAGTGGGATAGTTACCATTTGTATAATTAACAGATTTAAAAACAGAACCCTTAAACGATCGGATAAAAAAGGGGTGCAAAACGATGCGCAATTTTTTTTTACTTTGATATTTGTTATTTACACATTTTATATGTTGCTGTCCATATCTATGAGTGGTTGCGTTACCTCGTTAAATAGGTTTTCATAGTATTAATTTTATATGTATTTGTTTGTAACAGAGGCGGATGGGGCATATCGCCGCGTGGTGCCGGCTACACTTTCGGCCAGGATATATCGGAGACGTTCAACCACAGCAACGGGCTGACACTCGTCTCCAGGGCCCATCAGCTCGTCATGGAGGGCTACAACTGGTGCCACGATAGAAACGTCGTCACTATATTCTCAGCACCCAATTACTGCTATAGGTAAGTACAAGAACCTTGATATTTCTTCGAAAACTCAAACAGAAATTGACGAAGGCATCACATAATTATTTTTGACGCATAGGTACTCCTTGAGTAAACTCTAATTGTGATTTTAATTAACATTATCTTTGATGACAAGATTTTGGTGACATTATCCTGAAACAATTCTATTAGAATATTGATGATTCTGACTAAAACAATCTTAGCAATTGGAGAGGACAAGGAACAGGTTAGGTGTCGTACATATATACTCTTATAATACTGGTTTTTATTATTCCAGAATACCAAAAATGTTAAGACAGATATGCTATCTCTATCTCAAAAATACACCACACAGAGTTTTATAAAAAGTAAAGAGACTTTTATGAATCATAGCAAATATTGTTTTCCTCAACAATAATGTGTAATCTCTGGACAGTTTTTAAAGTTATTACCCTTTTACGTTATAACTGCATCATAAACTTATAACAACATTGAATACACAATACATATTTTGGGTCACCAATGAACCTTGAGTTTGAAATGATAAACGCTTAGACATAACAAGCCAACTCAAAGAATATTCGTCATTTGGCCAATATAGCAACAAATGTTGGTTCCAACGTAATTATTAAACGTATTCACAGACTTAGGAACGGTACACCAACATAATTCGCCAATGAGGTCGCTTCAAGCTTAACAATGAACGAAATGACTATTTAGCATAAGTCCTTCATTACATATTATGCACTAAAGTGCGGTATGTTCTTGACAAAACTGTTTAAAACTCGCATTTGTTTGTTTTACCTCTGAAATGGTCGTAAAATAACTGTTTTCTTTTCTAATGGTCTTAAGCCGACTGCGTAGATGTGATATTTGGATTTCTATGTCGAGAAAACATTAAATATATAATTTGCATATTTTTTACACTATACCTCTGCCTACGCGTTTAAAGAAAGAAAGGCCTGTTGTTATTATTCGTCATAATAATCAAATGTTCTCTGAAAAGTACCTAATCGTTGTTTTTATGTAATAGGCTAAAATGTTCCACCGATAAGCCTAAATTACACAAAATCCGTATGGCTCAATTATATAATTTATTTATAGAACTTTTTGCATTAATCGTAATACGTAATACAATGTATACATGTCAGTTTGATAAAGTAATTACCGTTTTCAATACGTACAACATTTTTGCCAAATGAGAGAGGGAGAAATGCGACAAAAATATAGTAATGTGTACCTAATGATTTTATAGAAAGTAAGCCATTATGTTATTTCAAAATATTCGATCATGAATCTTAACGAAAATAGCAGGAGAAAGTTCCCGTCAGCGCTGTCTAATCTCATCAAGCCGATATAATTCGATTAGATAAGCAAGCGACCAACAATATGCTGTTAGGCAACATAATACAACGTAAACATTATTGTTACAGATGCGGTAACCAAGCCGCCATTATGGAATTGGATGATGCGCTTAAGTACTCATTGTAAGTATTAAAAACCATATTTTACCACATTTACTGACTCCATTTCAACAGTATTGCAGACGCAAATAGTTAAAAAGTTCAATGACCCGTCGTATTTAGTAACAAACACAGTCTTATTTCATACATTTTGTAAACAATCCACCCATGTATAAACATGACGTTCGCAACAGTTTCTACTTTAGTTTTCCACTGTGTACAAGATTATCTACGATATCTTATTATGTAAAACGTACATGTAGACGATTCTAGAACAAAATAATCCTCACTTATTCCTACTTAGTGTAAGTGGAGTATTTTTAGAGGGCATGTATGGCTTCCTTGCTTCAAGGCGTCCGTGATTCACGAGCAAGTACTTGACCTTGCGACAGTGAGATGGTTCTAACCTTCAGTTGTTATTCATCATCCTTCATAACTTTTACATTAACATAGGATGTTGTCAAACTGTGTTTTGATAACCTAAAATATGTGTTTTTTATTAATCAGTAAAACACAGATGATTATGTAAAGTGTTCCATGTCAGTATGTCAAAAGTAGACGTAGGTTTGGAATGATTATCAGCGCAAAGTGATGACAAAAATTTGATATTCAACATCAAATTATTAAATCGACAAGTTCGATTCTGTACTATGGATAATGGAAAATATGACCTTAAATGAAAATGATCATTTAACTAATGTAGACTTTATGCTTGTTTGATCGTAATGGATTTTGTTTTATAGCCTTCAGTTCGATCCGGCCCCACGACGTGGCGAGCCGCACGTTACGCGACGGACGCCAGATTACTTCATGTAGGCTGCACGTAAGTATCATCTTATTATTTTTATAATAAGTCTGGGAACAGCTGACCTTTATCTAAGTTACTTCAGGTTGCCTCAGTAAAATTATCTCCTTTCATTCTTCCTAACATTCAGACATTAACGCATCACAAATATCCTTTTCCTCTTCACTCAGTCCGATTATATGCATTAGCTGATTAGCTAGTTCTTCCAAATAGTTGATGGTAAGCAAGTACTGTTCTTATTGCAGAGAAGGCGCATATCAAGCGGGCGGCGAGTGCGCGGAGCTCCGATGGTGCGGCGACGGCGGGCTCGGCTGGGGACGCGTGCACGGGCGGCCGGCGTCTGCGTACCAGGCGCAGGCTGGCGCGCGCGGCGGCACTGGCGGGGCTTGACCCGGCGCGTGCGGCGGGGCTGGCGGGGCTCGGGCCGGCGCGCCTGGCGGGGCTGGCTGGTCTCGCAGGCCAGCAGCCGCGCCGCTCGCGCCGCGCCAGCCTCGACAGCTTGCTCCGCGTGGCGCACTGGCTGGCGCACGTGTAGCGGCCGGCCCGCGCCCGCGTGTAAGTGCTCGTCACCATCGCAACTTAGGTTCTTGCCGTTCACTGTGCATTCGCTCCGCGCTAGTTATGCTGGTATGTTCATGTCCTGCGGCCGGAAGGAGCGCGACGACCTCCCATTATGATTTACACAATACATTGCTGTATCGAAGACGATTGGACCTCATTAAACACGTACATTTACTAAAACGGTAGTTTTATTTTGCTTTCGTCTCGTGTCTCGTGTCACCATCGATCGCCAGGTTGCCTATGGACATACCACCATAATCTAATCTTTGGTGACTAAATGTGCGCCGTATTGGATTCCCATAAAGCTTATGATCTTACATCTAATGTGCAGTAATGGAACTTATAAATTAGTGAAACAACATGATTATTGTCAATCTAGCAAATATGATGTTTTCATGTTAAGTTACTGTAGATCAAAATCTGTTGAAGTGCATCATATAATTTTGTATTTTTAGTTGCTTTACAAATGAAATATTAAAAGATTTTTTTACAATTTGATATTTACATTACATAGACATACTGCGGGGGTATTGATCTGTCGAGGTCTACAAAGCAATAGCAAGCATTTAGTTTTATGACAGAATGGCATTATGTAATTATTTAATTATATTATTCGTAATATCTTTAGTTCGGCTGTAAGTCTGCGTATACAAGTATTAGGAAGCGTTATTATTTATATACCCCAGTGCAATCATTCTGTCATAAAATGTCTGGAGAGAACGAGTGCATTTTGAGATTTAATTATTCAAAATTCTCCTTTTCTTGTGCCACAGTACCTGTATGACATGGAATAGTGTTTCACAAGAGTGGAGCTTTAATTTCTTTTTACTCTTTATTTGTTCTATATTTGATTATAAAATAATTTTAGGTAATTGTGTAAATACCTAAAGATCAAGGCACCCGATAGGTTGTTATTGTTTATACTAAGTGTCGAATATTTTCCCATTAATGTACTCATTTCGTAAAGATGGTAAGTAACTAAAATAAATATTAATAACAATTTTATATGAGATCATTGCGAACTGGGAAATTGTTTTATAACATCTTAGGATAGAAATTTATAACAGGGGGTTATATTGAAAGTGTTACAGCATGTTTTTAAGATTACATACTCACTAAGAAGCCCTGGTTTCCTTATACAAGCATTTTATTTTCTATTTATAGAATAACTGACAAAAGCAATTTTTATATTCCATTTTCCATGTAGAAAACGTGTACTTATTTTAGAATCTGAACAGTGGACATATTCTTTTGTCAGTGCCATCTTTCATTTATAAATAAAATTTCAGATTTATAAAATATTGTAATATTATTTTTGTTTCCTAAATTAAACGCGTGCGTACTAATTATACAAAGACCTTACCCACCAATGACACCTGAAGCCACACGTTTCGTTGATCTAAGTATTAAGTATGTAAGTTATAGATAAAATAAAATATAATATCCTTAAAGAAAAAAAATAACAAAAAAATGAGAATGTATGTCGAGCCTCGTTCGCGTGAAATAAAACAATAACTGTAGCACAAGTTTGTTTTCTCTGCTTTTGGCATTATTTCACCCAATCGAAGCTCGTGTAAAATTAAAATTAAGGCTTTCCTGGCAAACTGCATAGGCGATCGACATTCACAAGATGTTGAGGGAACGACGTTGACCTTTTGTATGCATAGTGTGTTGATGTATAAATGGGACTCGATACTATTGATGATGCGCCGATTACAGACTTACTTCCGAATGGACGGATCCGCTACACAATGGCAATAATTTCAAATGTAAACACAGTACGATAAATAATTATTCTTGCAACGTGTACTATGCCTGTTGATAGGAATTAGATATAAATAAATAAAATTAATTATAAAATGAGGGGTTTTCTTTCACCATTCCAAATCATAAGTAAAACTCAAAATTACATGAAAATAATTTATTATAATGTAGTAGATACACATTGTTTTATTATTTTATTTATGTACTTTATACATTATAGAGATATATATACATTTTATAATATCCTGTCCAGTGTTTCTTACTTGTACCTATTATATTAATTATATTTCTACTGCCTTGAGTTTTAATTGCATCTTTGGTGCGACAACATTGCTGTGTGTACCAATACATTATATTCTAGACAATACAAACAGTAATCTCGCGAAGAAGCTTTAAGCTAAACAAAAATTGGAATAAAACTGAGGTACTTGTCTAAACTGTTTCACAGTAAATGTGCGATAGGATCTAAAGTACACAGTTATACATAGAAGACATCACAAATATGTGGAATGAATCGTCTTATATACTAGCCTTGTCACCCTGTTCCTGATACAACACCTTTTTAAAGCTATTTAGCTGTCATATAATAATTATTACTATAAAAATAGTCTGCTGGGTATTTTGGCTTATTTTCACAACCATGCTTTGTTAGCTACATCAATAATACATTGGTTGGTTATATTTGCCGGCTTCTTGCAGGTAATATTTAGAACAATTCAATTCGATAGTATAAGATTTTTTTTAAAAAGAAGCAAAAATACGGTCAGCAGTTTCCATAAAGTGCGAATGGATTAAAAAAATTCTTAAGATACTTTGTGAAAAGCAGAAAAAGGCACGGAATTTATACTTACACATTTGTCTATTTTAAACCTATTTCTTTTGCTCCTTTTACCCAATTTATTCAGGGTCGCTCAATAAACCTACTTATTGTCATACAAATATTAATTGATGAGACGTAGTTCGTTGCGTATTTAATTGATCGGAAAGTGGATTAAATCCATTAGGGAATAAGTGGAAATACAACCACATACAGGACGATACAATTATCCACTGATTCTAATGAAAATAAGAGACCAAAGACCTGCACTCATAATAAGTACTAAACAAACAGGCACTAAAAGCCTGGTAAGACAACAGCTTCCCAAAAAGAATCTAGATTTGCTTGTTCAGTTAAATCCCGGCACACGATTCTGACCTATTCTTGCTAAAATCGCTAAAGCAAAATTTTTGGGCCCACAGATGGCAGCACAATAGTCTATGGCCCGTAGCTAAAAAATCCATCTTCCAGAGACATTATACCATTTTATAAATAAATTAAAATTACTGTAACCATAGCATAAAGCATAACGGAAATTGGAAATAATTATATCTACCTACTAAATATTAACTTGGAAATGACAATGTACTACACTATTAACCTACACATTGGTATTTAAAAATACAAATAATAGTGAGCATTACAACTTTCAAATACTGATATTTATATAAGTACAGCGAAGAGAATAGTGTGCGCAAATTCACTTTGTATTTCATAATAAATATTTTGCACGAAAATCGCGAACATGAGCACTATGTTGCCATAAAAAAAAATTGGGATCTGTCAAATGGGTTAACGATAAACAAATGGTAAACAATGATTAATAATTAATTACATGTTATTAAAAAAGTAACTAATTATCCTTGATTGTAAATATATTTCTTTTTATCTTCACTTACAAAAAAAGGTATCCATCTTTGCGTATTGGCTAGGAGACACGCTTGTATTTAAAAGCCATAAGTAATTCTCTTGTTACTCTTCATTTAAAAATATCATCCCTGTTGAAAAGAATAAAATATAATATTCGTACGGCTGAAGAACTAAGGTTTTCTATCTAATGACCCTCGACAGATCCCAACTTTAAACAAAAAGACTTTCTTATAACACAAAAGGAGTGTTAATAAATATGTACTTTTTCCTAATACAAATAAATATAATTATTTTGCAACCCTATTTAATAATGAGCTCTAACTTACAATACAACAATCGTCAACAACAACAAATATAATTAAATGTAAAAATACAACAATTTCAAATCGAGTACTTTGCAGAAAGTTAACGTAATTTGCGCTAAACAATATCGGTTACTACATAAAAAATAGACTTGCTTTGCCTCCAATTTGAATAGTTTGAAAAGAAATTAAAAATAATGAACACGTATTTTTTTTATTTAGAATGTATGTACCGAATTTATATTCACTGGACTGGGGCGTCCTACGTCACATCTAAATTATTATTACGTACATTTCCTACATTAAAAAAGGTCACAACAATAATATTCAATGGCCTCATTGCTAAAAGCCTCGACCAACATCTGAGTAGGCTAGCGTTAGATGGTTGGGTCAAGGGCCTGATGCAGAAAGTACTTCTGGATACGGCGCGTATTGTTTGGAAATTCCTTTCTCTGGAGCCCTGACCACCGGTAGCTTGGATTTCTCCCGTTACTGGTGGGCTACTGCTTTTTATATTTTTAAATGTTTTTTTTTATATAATTAAATATTTAAAAATATATAAGTCAAGTATAGAAATAAATAAAGGAAATAATAATATTCATAGATTATGGCCACAAATGGCTATAATCGTCATCATCACCTGACCATTGACTTCCAAAAGAAAAAAGTACGTGTTCAACATAACCAACCGAAATTATAATAAAAAGAAAATAGTCATCTTTCTTTACTACAGTTACGATACCATCATTCCTGTGTCGAGTTGTAGTAATTGTTTCATGAGTTCGTAAGTGGAGAATGAAGTGGCGACCATTGGTATCGCTCGGATGTAGTTGATGCTCATACCGCGGTACAGACCCTTCACTATGCCGTTCTCACGGTATATGAGGGTCAACGTCTTGACCATGCCGATGCTGGAATTTTTAAAAGAGTGATTAGTTGAATTTTATTACTGTTCTTTTTCATTCGCAATAAGCTAGCCGGCCGATTGACCACTATCTCGCCTGGTGATGATATGGTCTACGATGGAGCACGCCTCCCCATAAGCAACCTATTCTCTCGTTCTTGTTGAGGTTTAGGTTTAAAGAGAAGAAAATAAGTTCATAAGTTAGCTCAAAGAAAGCGAAATCTAGTTTTAAAGACTGTTAATTTTATGTCTAAATAGGATTAAGCATTGTTACAAAATTATTCAGAGTGGTATAGGAAAGGGAATATATAAAAGCTGTTTATCCTTACTAATATTATAAATCGGAAAGTGAGTTTGTTTGTTTGTTCCGCTTTCACGCCGTAACTACTTAACCGATTGCTTTGATTTTTTGCAAACGTAAAGTTAGAAGTCTGAATTAAATATAGGGTACTTTTTATCCCGGAAAAAATTGATATTCTCGAGGGAAAACGAAATTATTGGTATAGATGGCGCTGTGAGTATAGGTATATGTCACATAGGCTACTTTTTGTGCTTTTGTGACGCGAACGAAGCCGCGGGTAAAAGCTAGTTATATATAAAGCGCTCTCATTTGCTTATATTTACTTTGAAATATTTTTATTGTACTGCAGGTGTAATTTGAATTTCGAGCTAGTCAACACATGGGCTTTTTGATTCCGAAATCTCATACAGCATTAAAAAGCAAAATCTTATTAGTGTCACAACCAGGACTCTCAAAACATCTGAAGAAATGTTACATTTATCGAAATTACAAAGAACCAAGATAAAGTTAATTAGTTTATGGTAATTAGATTACAGTAAGTATGTAGACAAAATCCTAGAAAAAAAACCTTAAAAATAAAATATACAAAAATGTGAACAACCAACCTCCTGCAAGTGTTGCCAACACCACGTGTAAATATCATGCAATCAGAAATATCGCTGCATTAGTTAGGAATAGAACCGTTATATTGACAGTGTTGCCAACGAGATGAAACGAAAAATATGCCATGAAAAGACTTGTAATAAAATCCTCCAAAAATTCAATAACAAGGAAAAATCAACTCTGTTTTGTTAAAATAAGATTTCTTCTTGCATATATTTTTCATTTGTCTCGTTGGCACATACATGTAAGAAATAGAACTTAATATTTTAAGGAATAGTGCAATAAATTTATAGTCTAGCATTGCAGTGACTTAACTTAAAATGGAAATATACTTCTTATTGGCTTTGAAATAGGGTAAGTTTTTCAAGTTACTCACTGCCTTGCTTTAGACTATGCATAGTAATTATTGTGCATAGTATGTGGATGGATTCCATAGTAATATAGTGTTTATACATGAACAGGTAGGTTAATACAGGCTAAATAATTAGTTATTAAAGAAGGTAATCATGAGGCATAATTTTTCTATTAACATAAAAAGATTTGATGTAAGAATTTAGTTGTGCCAATATGATTTTTTTAAGGTGGGAGAATCATCGAATGCTTGCTCCCGCCTGGGTGAGGCGGGAGGGAGTGTCAGACTCTTACTGACTAAAAACCACCCCGTTCCTTCTCCTGCACGTCGAGCCAGAGCCCCGTTACCCGTTAGGTTCGCCAATATGAATACAATACTATCTCAGAAAAAATGGCCACTCTACACGCTCTACGCCTAAATTCTCAAACATCATTAATGTTTCTGTTATAAATATTACTAGCTGTGTCCGCGATTTCGTTCGCGTGAAATAGTGATATTCTGCGCATAACCTGTAGGTGATAGCGTGATAATATGTAGCCTACCTATACTCGACTGGTTGACTCGACCCGTTAGTAATAATCATACAAAATTTGAAGTAAATCCATACAGTACTTTTTGAGATTATCCCGGACATACATACAGACAATAATTTTAAATACCATATTTTTGGCTTCTGTATCGACTGTAGTATTCATTTATTCAATGTAAAGATTTGACTTTTCTACGATTTTATTATATGTATAGATTTGCTTGCAAGGACGTACAAAAAAAAGGTGGACGTTATGTCAGTTGGAAATGATTGAAGCACCATAACGTCAGTGATGTATTTATGTGTGCTTGTACTTGTTTCTCCTTAATTTATGAAGTGTAATAACGGGCCATGTCACGCGACAGATGTCCTCCGTGTCAATGTGGGTGTATTCTGCGTGTAAGTCTATAGTAGCTAGTGGCCACAGTCGTTGTATCAACAGATCGTGTCCATCTTTTATCACCGTCCTTGTTTGCTTGTATGATATCAGACAGGTGACATTTGATCGCCATTTAAAATAAATTGATGTTTAAGCATTCAGGTGTAATATTAGAAAACAAGATGGCAGAATAATGATGTAGTTGCAGGGTATGAATGCGACAGACTTCATTCAATAAAACATAAGATTATTGTTAAAAATGCATTTTATATGCGTCTCGCAGTCCCATATCCGAACTTGTATTTAGACTAAGTGAAATGTTTTTGTGTAAATTATATGCGTGCACAATAATCGTGCATAAAAATCCATTGGAGCCAGTTTAAATGAGCTTAAATAGTCTATTATGTCGCAGGTTATAAGGATATTTACTTTATGAATTCTGTGTCCTGTAGGTCAGAATCTTTAAATAAAGAAATTAAGCCCACGATTGTTTGTTATAGCTTAAATGACAGTGAGTTTATTTACAATTACATTACATTGAAAATGAACATAAGTGAGATTAGAGTGGCCATTTTACGTGAAACATGTAGCGAAATAATAATGTTCTGTCATACCCAAACTTGGCGGTGTGCGCGTCCATGCAGGCGAGCTGCATGCGGCGCCGCGTCACGTCGAGCGGGTACGACACGGACTGGGCCACCGCGCCCGCCAGCCCGCCACATACCAACTTGCCGGGCACTGTTAGCACAAGACCTCCTGAAATATACAATTTTTGGATTCATTATTTATTTTGACTGCATCGATGGACGAGTTGTTTGTGTTGTTAGATTCCGGGGCGAGCAAAATATTACTGGGTTTTTAAAAAATTCTCAGTAGTAGCTCGGAGTCTGGAATTGTGCCCGGTATATAGCAATAGGCTCACCCTCTATTACATGGGACTCATAACATAAATAGTGAAAAGTGGGTGTTACATTGTACAGTGGCATAATGTGCACCTCTGCCAACCCCTTCGAGGATGTTATTTATTTTATAATTTATTGCACAAAGAACTTTTCAATTACATTGTATCTAATAGTATTTTGAGTAAAATGGGCGGTCTCGTCACTCAAGGCGATTTTTTCCAGACAACCTATGGATGGAATTTTACATATAAATCTGTATTTATTTATTTAATAATATGTACACACAAACAGCACAGAGGATAACACATATATATATAAAATAAGAGTACAAAGGAGCTACTTATTATATGATTATTCCATATACTGTATTTAGTATATGTAAAAGAACCCTGTATTTATTATTTGCATTTCGTAAAATTGAAAATGAATATTATTTTCTGTGATTTTTGTTTAAGTAGGTAATAATTTAAATATTTATGTATGTGTCCTTTAAGCATGGACTGTTTCATAAGCAGCTAACAGGAAAGTACTTACGTATTTATCATAAATTTATCAGCTTATTTAAAAACCATTATTATTACATTACCTAAGAGATATTTAGAATCACGTTATAAACCCATGGAAATAAATTAACCCTTTATAAGGCAGAGAAAACTAAAAATGACTAGAGAAACTGCCTAAATATTGAATAGCGCACTGTATTGTAGTTAGGTCAACATCACCTAACTGTGATAGTCCATTGCTGGACATACTTAGATATGTAGCGGACTACATAAGAGGGTTCGATTCCCGAGTCGGGCAAAGTATTACTGAGTTTTTCGCAGTGGTAGCACGGAGTCTGGAACTTTGCTCGGTATATGGCAATAGGCTCACCCCCTATTACATGGGACTCATAACAAAAATAGTGAAAAGTGGGTGTACAGTGGCATCAAGTGCCGTAATGTGCACCTCTGGCTACCCTTTCGCGGATAAAAGGCGTGATGTTATGTTATGTTACATAAGAGGGTTTGCTATAATCTCTATGCTTGGCATTTTCAGTTAGTTGGAACCCGCAATTGTCTTATAATTAATTTTTATTATAAGTAACTAGCGACCCACCCCGGCTTTGCACGGGTGCAATATGCATGTATTATACATATAAACCTTCCTTAAGAATCCCTCTATTTATTAAAAAACCCGCATCAAAATCCGTTGCGTAGTCTTAAAGCATCTAAGCATATATAGGGATAGACAGACGGCGGATAGCAGCTTGTTTTATATGTAGTGATGACACTTACTTTATATTGGTAATAACTCCATGCTACTCTCATCGACCTTTAAATGCAATGATTATAAGTTAGAAGGTAGCATATTGCATGCATAATCAAGGATTGCCATCGGAATGGAACGAATGAGGTATTTCTCATTTACGATTTCACGAGTCAAGTTTACCTGTTTAAAATTTATCGCTATCAAACATTTTAGCCATGAAATGAAATAAAAATTGAGGAAAATATTGAAATTTACCTAATGGAAGTATTAGTATTTTGAAATATTATGTAGTGACAGAGTGACACCTATTAGTCGACATAACTCAGTCAGTACAGTAGCAAGGAGAACACAGCCTCAGAATAAATTATTTCGACTGTTCAATACAACAAAATATTAAAAAATAATCGCACTTTCATTAATTGATTATATGACCAACTTCATTTTAGAATTTTTCTACCAATTTTTTAAGAAATAACTATGCTGTTTGATACAAAAAAACGTGACGTCACAGTAGACAATCTCGTACATAATTTGTAGAAAACTGTCGTTTTTGACAGTTCGAAAAAGTATTGAATTCGACTAGTTGGCAATTGTTTCCAATTGGATAGTTTGCAGGGTATCAAAATTAAAAATCGAATTAGTCCGTCAGTTAGATAATGATAAAATATTAGACACCTATTTTTTATTTTCCCGTATTAAGTTGCAATACTTAGATAAAATGGCGCTAACTTTAGGAGTGGGAGGTCGTTACGTCATAACGTGCTACAAAATGTGACACGCTGTGACGTCATACGATATTTCAAATTAATACATCGTCGAACTCGAAAGTAATTTAATGTTGTGAGAAAAGAAAATATACGTGTCTAAAGTTTTAAATTAATGTACCAGACGGACATTAGAATAATATTTAGGAAACTACCCTATTATAGAGCTGCAGAATTATTATATTCAGGTTAAGATTTGTATGCAAACCATGATAGGTATGAACTTGAATCCTTGTACTCAGTCACTCTTGTCTTATTTAAGTTCTTTTAAATTCCTATCAAGTTTGAAATACCAGTTTCCTTATGGCTAGTACGTAGAATTACAAATGTGTGTGTGTTTATGTTACAAAGCAAGGAAGCTATTAAATTGCAATGCATTTGTGTTTGCAGCCGTGCATCCAATGCAGATATTTTTGTGGTGCTTCGGTAGTTTTAAGTATTTTTTTTATCAAGTCTAGACAAATGCCACGTACATTTCTTTCAGGCATGTCGTACGTACGTTTAACGTATATAACATTTATGACCGACTGATTATGCTCATGAGGTACTTCGTTTTTTTTCATTTTTTTACGTATTTTTTTACGAATACGAGACTTTTGAGTGCGAGAAGTGTTACGATCCTTTACGTTTTCGGTCAAGGCGGGAGCTTTGGATTTTTCTCATGTAACTACCTTGTACGTGATCATTTTGCTGTTGTCCTAGCATAAGCTAACTTATAGTCGCAAAACTTAGGTATGATACAACGTTGATTGCTCAGTAGTTTCGGGAACCCACCGGTATTCCTCTCGCACTTTCTACAGAGCGTGGTGGGCAGGTACTTCATGCAGAAGAACTTGAGCGACTCGAAGCAGTAGAAGCTGAAGCCGGCGTACGGCACCATGCCCATCATGGTGGGCACGAACCCGCGGTATAGTGCTCGTATACCACCCTCCTGTAACATTAACAGAAAAGATATAGAATTTACAAAATATATTATGCTCAGCGCCATAAACAATTAAGCTCACAAGTGGGTCTTGCTATCATCCATTACATTTTTAATCCAGATCTTTTTGATATCTAGATGAGATCATCCAAATGATAAAACAATGATTATAAAATTTTACCGTTCGAAACATGGTGGTAGCTGCATGCGCGATACCATTGTACTTGTGTTCGCCCGTGATCTGGAACGCAAGCCGCGCTCGAATAGTGTCCAACGGGTACGTCAAAGTGACAGCTGTCACTCCCGCACCCGCTCCCGCCACAAACTTATCGCCATGTTGGACTACTGGTATGTGGACACCGCTTAGGTACTGGAAAATAAGTATTGAGAATGTATGAGTAATTAATTAGAACCATTAGATAGAGGTTATATATAATTTATTATATTGTTATTCATTAAATGACACACGAAATCTATAACCTCATTGCAATGATTATATTTATATACTGGCAAATACACAGATATGTTTTCATTATTTATCGCCTGAATTGAAATCTAAATGACGTTTGAAGAGATTATCCGTAAACTAAATGCAGTCATATTTTTATTAAACTTTTTACTTTGTTTATAACGATGATTAACCTACATTGTCCTACATTAATAAAGTGTCTGATTCATATAATTCCAATAATATAAATCTTTTTGTATGGATCACTCATTATGAGGTCCACGTGGTAAGTATTTTTATCCTTTAAAAGCAGACCCGGCAAAATTCGTACCGCCTAAAAATGCCTTTTTTCTCCCCGTTTAAACTTTTCCTGGACTTTCACAAACATTTCAATACCAAAATTAGCTAAATCAGTTCAGCCGTTCTCGAGTTTTAGCGAGACTAACGAACGGAAATAGATTTTTTTTATAGTAGATTTTTATTTATATAGATTATTATAAATGATAAAATCTATAAAAGTACGGTATTAGTATTACGTAACTCCAGAAAACTTGTAAAATTATTGTTATCTAGAATTCTAGACAATAGATATACTAAAAACAGTGTGAGCTGTGAGATTATTAGTATTTTCAAGTATATAAAGATTTTAAAAATAGCCACTCAGACAGCGACAGTACCCCACGCTCCCCGGTGAAGGGGAGTGAACGATCATCGAGGGCTAATGGTAGGTCTACCACCGCCCGCCTCACGCTCAGGGCACCGCGCCACATCTCATCAACGTGACTGGTGAGGACTCACATAGTGTGAAAGTCTCGAGAAGAGCTTACTATAGAAATGATCCTATGAAGTAAGGTCTTGCCGTTTGCAGCGAATGCCGGGGAGGTCGTTCAGTCGCGGAGAATCTTAACACCGCGATTCAGAAATGCGCGTCATCGGCACAGTGCCACCTAGTGGTGCGAATTGAAGTTACAGCACCGGTCTAAAAAAAATTATCTCCGTTCCAGTTCGTGGCCGCCACGTAGTAGTCACTAGATTGCGCTACTGGTAGGTCGGTTACGTTACATTATACATAGGATATATTTATTTGATGGTCACTGTTTGAGTGGCTGTTTATTTACAATTTTATTAACTTGAAATCACTAGCTTTCAATAGTAAGTTAATTTAGCTCACATTGCGAAACTGTAGTTCAGTAAATATTTCAGTATTAACTACAGGGACCGAAGAGATATCATAGCGTGTTACGACATATTATTATATATAAAATCTCTATGTCACCGCTAAAAATAAAAGAGCTAAAAAAATACAATAACTTTCTACAGAAATTCGTTGACAAACACAACACTTTTAAAAATAATTTAGTGAGATATACGATACAGATACAGGCGTATATCAGTTGCCTGAACTGCCGACTAGATAAAACAATATAAAAATAAAATAACCCAGGATATAAAATAGCATACAAACTGTAGTAGATTATTTACCACGTGCTGTGCGTCACACGTGATTCATATAGATATCTAAATTAAACGTTTTCTACGAAAAGAAGTGTAAAGTAATCAGCTCAGTTGTAACTAAACATGCCAAGAAAGATAGCATAATCTTTCTGATTCTTTTTGGTGTACAGTTTTGATTTAAATTACATAGATCTTATTTTGAATACTTCTTACGGGCTAACTATCATTTCAAATTAAAGGTGTCCTTATAGATCCAAACGATAAACATTTCAGCCTAAAGCAACATTAATAAAATCATCACATACAAGAGAAAGACTTTACACAAACACAATAACAAGTAACTAATAAAGTATCAACAAAAACATCCCGCGAAATATATCGCCACTGAACTAAAATCGTGATCACATACTCCACAAGTCGGCGCCAAAACATTTACTTATTATTATTTTGCAATATGATAACAATTCCAATAATGTGAGAATTATTACATTCAATATGTGGTCGGCAATATCTACGTAATCTGTTTGGGGGCTTGGCACTGATAAAAATAACCATTCGCTCTTATTAAACTGATAACATCATGGTTTACATGGGTTAAAATGGTGAAATCTTTATCAAAATCATGAAATTATTTCACAGTTTAGCTTCCTTGCAAATAGTTCGATAACCTTTGTAAGTGTAGCTGGTGGGACGCGACGGTCTAATTATATTTATTTATACGTAATTATTATGATAAACTCCACTCTAATTGCGATTTATATTGTTTTTAACGAAAGCGAGTCTAATGAAAACATTCTTCTTATTTATATTCTAAGATATAAAGTAAATATGTTGTTTTTGGGGGCAGGAAAATTATATACATTTTTTTTGTAGACAACGCAGTACATTCACTCGTATAGTGGGACATCAACGACCTAAAAAGGTGGCAGAGAACCGTTTGATGCAAGACGATCTAGAAGTCTTTGGAGACCCAATGTTCAGCAGTAAACGTTTTTTATATGGCTGATATAGTGACGATTATTATCAGACTAAAGAGGATAAAGTCATACGCTGCGATTTCTACGAACGCGCTTATCGTGTATTATATTTTAAGTAC